GAGCACCTATGAAGGCCGGAACGGTACACGAGGGGGGTGGGTGGCCAGCACCACGCCCGACCGCCTTTGTCTCCCCAGTGGCGATGTTTTTATCCATCGCACCAGGTACTCATTTGAGGCTGAGTCGACCTAGGGGAGGCCCAGGACCGGTTCAGGTAATCGTCACTGGTGTTGGCCGTGAGCGGAAATCGAACCCGGGTCGCCAGGTTCATAGCGCAGCGTAGCGCTAACCGCTACACTACCGCTCCCCACACAGACACACACACACCCACACGCATACCTATACACATACCGTCAAATACACTCACACACACATACACACAGACACACACACAGAGCCACTCTCAAACATTCACATTCACTCTTACATACAAAAGACAAAGATCCCCCGTGTAGCCTTAACAGACTGTAGGGGCAAGTGCTGTTAGCGAGTAGCACCTGTGATGGCCGGAACGGCACACGAGGGGGTGGGTGGCCAGCACCACGCCCGGCCGCCTTTGTCTCCCCAGTGGCGAAGTTTACTACACACCGCACCAGGTACTCATTTGAGGCTCAGTCGAGCACACACACACACAGACACCATTATCACCAACTCATCCACACACACACACACCTACTACCCACCACCCGTTTCACACAAAGGCAAAGATCCCCCGTGTAGCCTTAACAGACTATAGGGACAAGTGCTGTTAGCGAGTAGCAGCACCTATGATGGCCGGAAGGGCACACGAGGGGGTGGACCACGCCCGGCCGCCTTTGTCTCCCCAGTACTGGCAGCTACACATCGCACCAGAACCAGTCAAGGTTATATTCGCCACTGATGTTATCCGTGAGCGGGAATCGAACAGCCTGTGACGATCCACCCCTATAACCCCTCTCTTTGATTTACTGGTCTATTGGCTATTCACGGATCGATTATTTACGGTTCGACCATTCACGGATCAACTATTTACGGTTCGACAATTGACGGTTTGACGATTCCCAGATCGACTATTCACGCATCGGCTATTAACGGTTCTGACTTTTCACGATTTTGACTATTCACGTTTTTTTTACTATTCGCGGTGTTGACGATTCACGTGACGTGCTGCCCTGTGCCACCACGTAGCCTGGGGCAAGGCTGAATGAACTGTGGCCAATGGCCAGGGGAGAGACCCATTAGGTGTGGGGTGACCGACCGTGCCAGGCTAGGTGCATGAGGTCACGGCACAGACCCGGCAGGTGCGGGGTGACCGACCGTGCCAGGCTAGGTGCATGAGGTCACGGCACAGACCCGGCTGTGCCCCCCCAACTGTGCCAACTCGCTGATATGTATCATACAATATGTATCATACAATATGTATTATATATTATGTATCATACAATATGTATCAGACAATATGTATCATACAATATTTATCATACAATATGTATCAGACAATATGTATCATACAATATGTATCATACAATATTTATCATACAATATGTATTATATATTGTACAATATGTATCATACAATATTTATCATACAATATGTATTATATATTGTACAATATGTATCATACAATATGTATCATACAATATGTATTATATATTGTACAATATGTATCATACAATATGTATCATACAATATGTATCATACAATATGTAATATATATTGTACAATATGTATCATACAATATGTATTATATATTGTACAATATGTATCATACAATATGTATTATATATTGTACAATATGTATCATACAATATGTATCATACAATATGTATTTATGAATCTTTGGTAGCCCATAGAGTCTAGGTGGTTTTGAGGGCCTTGGCTTAATTAGGTATTGCTCATTTTTAGGGATTAATGAATTTGCAATTATTGCAGTGGTCTTACGTTCTAAAGTATTAGTTGGATCTCGTTTAATTTTAATGTAGGTACTTTCCTCTAGTAAATGATATTCTAGTAAATGATATTCTGGTAAGTTTTGATGTGATTTCTCTATTCACTAAGGTTCCAGTGGACGAATCGCTTAAATTACTTGATACACTAGTAAAGAATGCCGGTTTACAAAAAGATATTCCGAAACTTGCTGGCCATTGTTTAAATAACACTTACTTCTTATGGAGAGGGGATTTCTTTAAACAAAAGGAAGGAGCAGCAATGGGTTCTCCTTTATCCCCTGCTATAGCAAATTTGTACATGGAAAACTTTGAAATAAGAGCACTTGCCTCGAGCACATTAAAACCATCCTTTTGGTTTAGGTATGTGGATGACACTTTGGTTGTCTGGCCACATGGTAAAGATACACTTAATGATTTTCTAAATCATCTCAATGCACAAAACCCGGCCATCCAGTTCACCATGGAAATGGAGGTGAATAACACACTCCCATTCCTAGATATTTTGCTTGGACATGGCCTAAACGGTAAAATAACACACAGCGTTTACAGAAAGCAAACGCACACCGATGCCTATCTGAATGCAGAATCACATCATCATCCAGCTCAAAAATCCTCTCTTATCAAGACGCTCGTACATCGGGCGAAAACAGTGTCAGATGGTGAGAGTCTAGTGAGAGAGATTAAACACGTTAAAGACGCACTACGACAGAATGGCTACAATAATGCTCAAATTAACAGAGCACTGAATGCCAAATCACGATCGCAAAGCAATACTACTGAAAGCGACCAGATTGCTAAAACAATAAAAATTCCATATATCTCAGGAGTAACTGACAAATTAGCCCGCGTTTTGCAAAAGCAAAACATTACAGTAAGATTTGGTACAGTACACAAAATTAAAAAAACTAGTATCTTGCACTAAAGACGCATTACCTAAACTATCAACAGAAGGTGTATATCGGATTAATTGTTCATGTGGCAGCTGCTACATTGGGCAGACGGGACGTAACATCAGCGTAAGACTAAAAGAACATCAGAGAAATATTAAATTATCTCAAACACAACTGTCGGCAGTGGCAGAACATGCTTGTCAACAAGGACACTCAATTGATTTTGACAATGTTGCAGTGGTGTGTAAAACTAATTATTACTGGCAAAGACTAATTAGAGAATCCATTGAAATTGAGAGGAACAAGAATAACTTTAATCGCTCTGACAGCTACCGGCTTAGTGCGGCCTGGAAGCGTATTATTAAATAATACACATTACATTTTGATTTAAAGAATTACTAATCTACAACTCATTACTAATCATAACCAATGACTGATTACTAATCGATTATATAATTACATTACCCCCCCCTCCGCCTCTAATCAGTGCACCTGATGAGTTAAGTGATGACGTCACCCTGCTGCTCTATATACAACCGGGAGCAAGCGAGGGCTTTACCATTCTGGCGAATTGCCCGATGATGCTGGAAGTATTTACCAGCGAAACGTCGTACTCAAACTGTAAATGTGGATTAACTCTTCAACACACCGGTGGGCTGAAGTAGTGAATTATTTGTCTTTTGTCAACGTGACACTTTTTTTGCTGATTGGCCGTGTCGGGTGGTGGAGGGTTACGACACATTTATAAATAAACGCGATCTAACCCAAAAACCTTTATTATGAACATAAGTATTATATGATAAGTATAATATAAGTATTATATATGTATAATATAAGTATTATATATGTATAATATAAGTATTATATATGTATAATATAAGTATTATATATGTATAATATAAGTATTATATGATATGTATAATATAAGTATTATATGATATGTATAATTTAAGTATTATATATGTATAATATAAGTATTATATGATATTATAATATAAGTATTATATGATATGTATAATATAAGTATTATATGATATGTATAATATACGTATTATATGATATGTATAATATAAGTATTATATGATATGTATAATATAAGTATTATATGATATGTATAATATAAGTATTATATATGTATAATATGAGTATGATATGATATTATAATCTAAGTATTATATGATAAGTATAATATAAGTATTATATGATAAGTATAATTTAAGTATTATATATGTATAATATGAGTATGATATGATATTATAATATAAGTATTATATAAGTACAATATAAGTATTATATGATATGTATAATATAAGTATTATATGATATGTATAATATAAGTATTATATATGTATAATATAAGTATTATATATGTATAACATAAGTATTATATGATAAGTATAATATAAGTATTATATATGTATAATATAAGTATTATATATGTATAATATAAGTATTATATGATAAGTATAATATAAGTATTATATATGTATAATATAAGTATTATATGATATGTATAATATAAGTATTATATGATAAGTATAATATAAGTATTATATGATATTATAATATAAGTATTATATGATATGTATAATATAAGTATTATATTTTAAGTCATCACGTGTCGCTCCGCCCGAATGTGCTCTCACTTCGTTACGGTGGTGGAGCGATCGAGAAGCGGGGGGGGGGGGGGGGGGGGGCGGGGGCTGAGCAGTGAGTGGCAGCGGCGATGGGGGGGGGGGTACTTGGGGGGATCAGGGAGGGGGTTGCAGGTGGGGGGGGTACTTGGGGGGATCAGGAAGGGGGCTGCAGGGGGGGGGTACTTGGGGGGATCAGGAAGGGGGCTGCAGGGGGGGGTGGAGGAGGCAGCGAGGATTTCAGAGAGGGACGGAAGGAGGTTGAGGAGGGGACTGCCGAACGTGCAGGGGAAGTTGATTACTGAACACTCCTTCCTCCACCTCCTCATCCCTCTCCTCCACCTCCCTCTCCTCCACCTCCCTCTCCTCCACCCCCACCTCCCCCACCACCTCCCCCCCCACCGCCCCCACCACCACCCCCACCACCACCCCCACCACCTCCCCCACCACCTCCCCCACCACCTCCCCCACCCCCTCCCCCACCACCTCCACCTCCCCCACCCCCTCCCCCACCACCTCCACCTCCCCCAACCTCCACCACCCCTCCCCCCACCTCCACCACCACCCCCACCACCTCCCCCACCTCCCCCACCCCCCCCCCACGCACCTTGAGTGAGCCGCGTGGGCTCCCGCACGGCGGTGCCGTCGATGGTGCAGGGGTGGCCGCAGGGCACCAGGGTGATGGCGCCGCCCCGCGACTCGATGATGCAGTGGTCGCGCTGCGCTCCGGGACCGCGGATCTCGATGTCGGGAGGAGGAATCGAATCCGCCGTGCCCAGCTTAGTTTGCCCTGTGGGTGTGTCGGTGGGTGGGGGGGGAGGGTGGGAGGGAGGGAGAGGTGGGGGGAGGGAGAGAGAGTGAGTGGGTTGGGAGGGAGGGGAATGGGAGGGAGGGGAATGGGAGGGAGGGGAATGGGAGGGAGGGGAATGGGAGGGAGGGGAATGGGAGGGAGGGGAATGGGAGGGAGGGGAATGGGAGGGGAGGGAATGGGAGGGGAGGGAATGGGAGGGAGGGGAATGGGAGGGAGGGGAATGGGAGGGAGGGGAATGGGAGGGAGGGGAATGGGAGGGAGGGGAATGGGAGGGAGGGGAATGGGAGGGAGGGGAATGGGAGGGAGGGGAATGGGAGGGAGGGGAATGGGAGGGAGGGGAATGGGAGGGAGGGGAATGGGAGGGAGGGGAATGGGAGGGAGGGGAATGGGAGGGAGGGGAATGGGAGGGAGGGGAATGGGAGGGAGGGGAATGGGAGGGAGGGGAATGGGAGGGAGGGAATGGGAGGGAGGGGAATGGGAGGGAGGGGAATGGGAGGGAGGGGAATGGGAGGGAGGGGAATGGGAGGGAGGGGAATGGGAGGGAGGGGAATGGGAGGGAGGGGAATGGGAGGGAGGGGAATGGGAGGGAGGGGAATGGGAGGGAGGGGAATGGGAGGGAGGGGAATGGGAGGGAGGGGAATGGGAGGGAGGGGAATGGGAGGGAGGGGAATGGGAGGGAGGGGAATGGGAGGGAGGGGAATGGGAGGGAGGGGAATGGGAGGGAGGGAATGGAGGGAGGGAATGGGAGGGAGGGGAGGAGAATGGAAGGGAGGGAGGGGAGGGGAGGGAGGGGAGGGAGGGGAGGGAGGGGAGGGAGGGAGGGAGGGAGGGGATGGGAGGGGAAGGGGAGGGAGGGAGGGGAGGGAGGGGAATGGGAGGGAGGGGAGGGGAGGGAGGGTGGAAGGGAGGGGAATGAGAGGGAGGGGAGGGAGGGGAGGGGAGGGAGGGGAGTGAGGGGAGGGAGGGGAGTGAGGGGAGGGGAGGGAGGGGAGGGAGGGTGGAAGGGAGGGGAATGGGAAGGAGGGGAGGGAGGGGTGGGAGGGAGGGGAGGGAGGGAGGTGAATAGGAGGGAAGGGAGCGGAGGAAGTGGAGGGGGTGAGGGGAGGGAGGGTGGAAGGGAGGGAGGGAAGGGGAATAAATAGATCGAGGAATACAATCCAGGCACACGCATGGATTCTGTGGCGAATGCTTCCCAAACAAACACGACGCGATTTGTAGTGGTGGTTGTGGTGGCGGTAATTGTTGTGGTTGTTGTTGTGGTGGTTGTTGTTGTGGTTGTTGTTGTGGTGGTTGTTGTGGTGGTGGTGGTGGTTGTTGTCGTGGTTGTTGTTGTGGTGGTTGTTGTTGTGGTGGTCGTGGTGGTTGTTGTTGTTGTCGTGGTTGTTGTTGTAGTTGTTGTTGTGGTTGTTGTTGTTGTTATGGTTGTTGTTGTGGTGGTTGTTATTGTGGTGGTGTTGAGAAGGTTGTTCTGGTGGTGGTTGGTGTTGTGGTAGTTGTTGTTGTGGTGGTTGTTGTTGTGGTAGTTGTTGTGGTGGTGGTTGTTGTTGTGGTGGTTTTTGTTATGGTGGTTGTTGTAGTTGTTGTTGTGGTTGTGGAAGTTGTTATGGTTGTTGTGGTAGTTGTTGTTGTGGTAGTTGTTGTGGTAGTTGTTGTGGTAGTTGTTGTTGTGGTTGTTGTAGTTGTTGTTGTGGTTGTGGAAGTTGTTATGGTTGTTGTGGTAGTTGTTGTTGTGGTAGTTGTTGTTGTGGTAGTTGTTGTTGTAGTTGTTGTGGTAGTTGTTGTTGTGGTAGTTGTTGTTGTGGTTGTTGTGATAGTTGTTGTTGTGGTTGTTGTGGTAGTTGTTGTTGTGGTAGTTGTTGTTGTAGTTGTTGTGGTAGTTGTTGTTGTGGTAGTTGTTGTTGTGGTTGTTGTGATAGTTGTTGTTGTGGTTGTTGTGGTAGTTGTTGTTGTGGTAGTTGTTGTTGTAGTTGTTGTTTTGGTTGTTGTGGTAGTTGTTGTTGTGGTAGTTGTTGTTGTGGTAGTTGTTTTTGTGGTAGTTGTTGTTGTTGTGGTTGTTGTGATAGTTGTTGTGGTTGTTGTGGTAGTTGTTGTTGTTGTGGTAGTTGTTGTTGTTGTGGTAGTTGTTGTGGTAGTTGTTGTGGTTGTTGTGGTAGTGGTTGTTGTGGTTGTTGTGGTAGTTGTTGTGGTAGTTGGTGTGGTAGTTGTTGTTGTGGTAGTTGTTGTTGTGGTAGTTGTTGTTGTGGTAGTTGTTGTTGTTGTGGTTGTTGTGGTAGTTGTTGTTGTGGTTGTTGTGGTAGTTGTTGTTGTGGTAGTTGTTGTTGTGGTAGTTGTTGTTGTGGTTGTTGTGATAGTTGTTGTTGTGGTTGTTGTGGTAGTTGTTGTTGTGGTAGTTGTTGTTGTAGTTGTTGTTTTGGTTGTTGTGGTAGTTGTTGTTGTGGTTGTTGTGGTAGTTGTTGTTGTGGTTGTTGTGGTAGTTGTTGTTGTGGTAGTTGTTTTTGTGGTAGTTGTTGTTGTGGTTGTTGTGATAGTTGTTGTGGTTGTTGTGGTAGTTGTTGTTGTTGTGGTAGTTGTTGTTGTTGTGGTAGTTGTTGTGGTAGTTGTTGTGGTTGTTGTGGTAGTGGTTGTTGTGGTTGTTGTGGTAGTTGTTGTGGTAGTTGTTGTGGTAGTTGTTGTTGTGGTTGTGGTAGTTGTTTTGTGGTAGTTGTTGTTGTGGTTGTTGTGGTAGTTGTTGTTGTGGTTGTTGTGGTAGTTGTTGTTGTTGTGGTTGTTGTAGTAGTTGTTGTTGTGGTTGTTGTGGTAGTTGTTGTTGTTGTGGTAGTTGTTGTTGTGGTAGTGGTTGTTGTTGTTGTTGTGGTAGTTGTTGTGGTAGTTGTTGTGGTTGTGGTAGTTGTTTTGTTTGTTGTGGTTGTTGTGGTAGTTGTTGTTGTGATTGTTGTTGTTGTGGTAGTTGTTGTTGTGATTGTTGTGGTAGTTGTTGTGATTGGTGTGGTAGTTGTTGTTGTGGTAGTTGTTGTTGTGGTAGTTGTTGTTGTGGTTGTTGTGGTAGTTGTTGTGGTTGTTGTGGTAGTTGTTGTGGTAGTTGTTGTTGTTGTTGTGGTAGTTGTTGTGGTAGTTGTTGTGGTAGTTGTTGTTGTGGTAGTTGTTGTTGTGGTTGTTGTGGTAGTTGTTGTTGTGGTAGTTGTTGTTGTTGTGGTAGTTGTTGTTGTGGTAGTTGTTGTTGTGGTTGTTGTGGTAGTTGTTGTTGTTGTGGTAGTTGTTGTTGTGGTTGTTATGGTAGTTGTTGTTGTGGTAGTTGTTGTTGTGGTTGTTGTGGTAGTTGTGGTAGTTGTTGTTGTGGTAGTTGTTGTTGTGGTAGTTGTTGTTGTGGTAGTTGTTGTTGTGGTTGTTGTGGTAGTTGTTGTTGTGGTTGTTGTGGTTGTTGTGGTAGTTGTTGTGGTAGTTGTTGTTGTTGTGGTAGTTGTTGTTGTGGTTGTTGTGGTTGTTGTTGTGGTTGTTGTGGTTGTTGTGGTAGTTGTTGTGGTAGTTGTTGTTGTGGTAGTTGTTGTTGTTGTGGTAGTTGTTGTTGTGGAAGTTGTTGTTGTGGTAGTTGTTGTTGTTGTGGTAGTTGTTGTGGTTGTTGTGGTAGTTGTTGTTGTGGTAGTTGTTGTTGTTGTGGTAGTTGTTGTTGTGGTAGTTGTTGTTGTTGTGGTTGTTGTGGTAGTTGTTGTTGTGGTAGTTGTTGTTGTGGTTGTTATGGTAGTTGTTGTTGTGGTTGTTGTGGTTGTTGTGGTTGTTGTGGTAGTTGTTGTTGTGGTAGTTGTTGTGGTAGTTGTTGTTGTGGTAGTTGTTGTTGTGGTTGTTGTGGTAGTTGTTGTTGTGGTTGTTGTGGTAGTTGTGGTAGTTGTTGTGGTAGTTGTTGTTGTTGTGGTAGTTGTTGTTGTGGTTGTTGTGGTTGTTGTGGTGGTTGTTGTGGTAGTTGTTGTTGTGGTAGTTGTTGTTGTTGTGGTAGTTGTTGTTGTGATAGTTGTTGTTGTGGTAGTTGTTGTTGTTGTGGTAGTTGTTGTTGTGGTTGTGGTAGTTGTTGTTGTTGTGGTAGTTGTTGTTGTGGTTGTTGTGGTTGTTGTGGTAGTTGTTGTGGTAGTTGTTGTTGTGGTTGTTGTTGTGGTAGTTGTTGTTGTGGTTCTTGTTGTTGTGGTAGTTGTTGTTGTGGTTGTGGTTGTTGTGGTAGTTGTTGTTGTGGTTGTTGTGGTAGTTGTTGTGGTAGTTGTTGTGGTAGTTGTTGTGGTAGTTGTTGTTGTGGTTGTTGTGGTAGTTGTTGTTGTGGTAGTTGTTGTGGTTGTTGTGGTAGTGGTTGTTGTTGTGGTTGTGGTTGTTGTGGTAGTTGTTGTTGTTGTGGTTGTTGTGGTAGTTGTTGTGGTAGTTGTTGTGGTAGTTGTTGTTGTGGTAGTTGTTGTTGTGGTAGTTGTTGTGGTAGTTGTTGTTGTTGTGGTAGTTGTTGTTGTGGTAGTTGTTGTTGTGGTTGTTGTGGTAGTTGTTGTTGTGGTAGTTGTTGTTGTGGTTGTTATGGTAGTTGTTGTTGTGGTAGTTGTTGTTGTGGTTGTTGTGGTAGTTGTTGTGGTAGTTGTTGTTGTGGTAGTTGTTGTGGTAGTTGTTGTGGTAGTTGTTGTTGTGGTAGTTGTTGTTGTGGTAGTTGTTGTTGTGGTTGTTGTGGTAGTTGTTGTTGTTGTGGTAGTTGTTGTTGTGGTAGTTGTTGTTGTGGTTGTTGTGGTAGTTGTTGTTGTGGTAGTTGTTGTTGTGGTTGTTATGGTAGTTGTTGTTGTGGTAGTTGTTGTTGTGGTTGTTGTGGTAGTTGTTGTGGTAGTTGTTGTTGTGGTAGTTGTTGTGGTAGTTGTTGTGGTAGTTGTTGTTGTGGTAGTTGTTGTTGTGGTAGTTGTTGTTGTGGTAGTTGTTGTTGTGGTAGTTGTTGTTGTGGTTGTTGTGGTAGTTGTTGTTGTGGTTGTTGTGGTTGTTGTGGTAGTTGTTGTGGTAGTTGTTGTTGTGGTAGTTGTTGTTGTGGTTGTTGTGGTTGTTGTTGTGGTTGTTGTGGTTGTTGTGGTAGTTGTTGTGGTAGTTGTTGTTGTGGTAGTTGTTGTTGTTGTGGTAGTTGTTGTTGTTGTGGTAGTTGTTGTGGTTGTTGTGGTAGTTGTTGTTGTGGTAGTTGTTGTTGTTGTTGTGGTAGTTGTTGTTGTGGTAGTTGTTGTTGTGGTTGTTGTGGTAGTTGTTGTTGTGGTAGTTGTTGTTGTGGTTGTTATGGTAGTTGTTGTTGTGGTTGTTGTGGTAGTTGTTGTTGTGGTAGTTGTTGTGGTAGTTGTTGTTGTGGTAGTTGTTGTGGTAGTTGTTGTTGTGGTAGTTGTTGTTGTGGTTGTTGTGGTAGTTGTTGTTGTGGTTGTTGTGGTTGTTGTGGTAGTTGTTGTTGTGGTAGTTGTTGTTGTGGTTGTTGTGGTTGTTGTGGTGGTTGTTGTGGTGGTTGTTGTGGTAGTTGTTGTTGTGGTAGTTGTTGTTGTGGTAGTTGTTGTTGTTGTGGTAGTTGTTGTTGTTGTGGTAGTTGTTGTTGTTGTGGTAGTTGTTGTTGTGGTTGTGGTAGTTGTTGTTGTGGTAGTTGTTGTTGTGGTTGTTGTGGTTGTTGTGGTAGTTGTTGTGGTAGTTGTTGTTGTGGTTGTTGTTGTGGTAGTTGTTGTTGTGGTAGTTGTGGTTGTTGTGGTTGTTGTGGTAGTTGTTGTTGTGGTTGTTGTTGTGGTTGTTGTGGTAGTTGTTGTTGTTGTGGTTGTTGTGGTAGTTGTTGTTGTTGTGGTTATTGTGGTAGTTGTTGTGGTTGTTGTGGTAGTGGTTGTTGTTGTGGTAGTTGTTGTTGTGGTTGTTGTTGTTGTGGTAGTTGTTGTTGTGGTTGTGGTTGTTGTGGTAGTTGTGGTTGTTGTGGTAGTTGTTGTGGTAGTTGTTGTTGTTGTGGTAGTGGTTGTTGTGGTAGTTGTTGTTGTTGTGGCAGTTGTTGTTGTTGTGGTAGTTGTTGTTGTGGTAGTTGTTGTTGTTGTGGTAGTTGTTGTTGTTGTGGTAGTTGTTGTTGTTGTGGTAGTTGTTGTTGTGGTTGTTGTTGTGGTAGTTGTTGTGGTAGTTGTTGTTGTGGTTGTGGTTGTTGTTGTTGTGGTAGTTGTTGTTGTTGTGGTAGTTGTTGTTGTTGTGGTAGTTGTTGTTGTGGTAGTTGTTGTGGTAGTTGTTGTTGTGGTCGTTGTTGTTGTGGTAGTTGTTGTTGTGGTAGTTGTTGTTGTGGTAGTTGTTGTTGTGGTAGTTGTTGTTGTTGTTGTGGTAGTTGTTGTGGTAGTTGTTGTTGTTGTGGTAGTTGTTGTTGTGGTTGTTGTTGTTGTGGTAGTTGTTGTTGTGGTAGTTGGTGTTGTGGTAGTTGTTGTTGTGGTAGTTGTTGTTGTGGTTGTTGTTGTGGTAGTTCTTGTTGTTGTGGTAGTTGTTGTTGTGGTTGTTGTTGTTGTGGTTGTTGTTGTGGTAGTTGTTGTTGTTGTGGTAGTTGTTGTTGTTGTGGTAGTTGTGGTAGTTGTTGTTGTGGTAGTTGTTGTTGTGGTTGTGGTTGTTGTGGTAGTTGTTGTTGTGGTAGTTGGTGTTGTGGTAGTTGTTGTTGTGGTAGTTGTTGTTGTTGTGGTAGTTGTTGTTGTGGTAGTTGTTGTTGTTGTGGTAGTTGTTGTTGTTGTGGTAGTTGTTGTTGTTGTTGTGGTTGTTGTGGTAGTTGTTGTTGTGGTAGTTGGTGTTGTGGTAGTTGTTGTTGTGGTTGTTGTGGTAGTTGTTGTGGTAGTTGTTGTGGTAGTTGTTGTGGTAGTTGTTGTTGTTGTTGTGGTAGTTGTTGTTGTTGTTGTGGTTGTGGTAGTTGTTGTTGTGGTTGTTGTTGTGGTAGTTGTTGTTGTTGTTGTGGTTGTTGTAGTTGTTGTGGTAGTTGTTGTTGTGGTAGTTGTTGTTGTTGTGGTAGTTGTTGTTGTTGTGGTAGTTGTTGTTGTGGTAGTTGTTGTTGTTGTGGTAGTTGTTGTTGTGGTTGTTGTTGTGGTAGTTGTTGTTGTGGTAGTTGTTGTTGTGGTTGTTGTTGTGGTAGTTGTTGTTGTGGTAGTTGTTGTTGTTGTGGTTGTTGTTGTTGTGGTTGTTGTTGTGGTAGTTGTTGTTGTGGTAGTTGTTGTTGTGGTAGTTGTTGTTGTGGTTGTTGTTGTTGTTGTGGTAGTTGTTGTTGTGGTAGTTGTTGTGGTTGTTGTGGTAGTTGTTGTTGTTGTGGTAGTTGTTGTTGTGGTTGTTGTTGTGGTAGTTGTTGTTGTTGTGGTAGTTGTTGTTGTGGTAGTTGTTGTTGTGGTAGTTGTTGTGGTTGTTGTGGTAGTTGTTGTTGTTGTGGTAGTTGTTGTTGTTGTGGTAGTTGTTGTTGTTGTGGTAGTTGTTGTTGTTGTGGTAGTTGTTGTTGTTGTGGTTGTGGTTGTGGTTGTTGTGGTTGTTGTTGTTGTTGTGGTTGTTGTAGTGGTTGTTGTGGTTGTTGTTGTGGTTGTGGTTGTTGTTGTGGTAGTTGTTGTTGTTGTTGTGGTAGTTGTTGTTGTGGTTGTGGTTGTTGTTGTGGTAGTTGTTGTGGTTGTTGTTGTTGTTGTGGTAGTTGTTGTTGTTGTTGTGGTTGTTGTTGTGGTTGTTGTTGTGGTTGTTGTTGTTGTTGTGGTAGTTGTTGTTGTTGTTGTGGTTGTTGTTGTTGTTGTGGTTGTTGTTGTTGTGGTTGTTGTTGTTGTTGTGGTTGTTGTTGTTGTTGTGGTTGAGCTCCTCACCCTCGTGCAGGGGCAGCAGCGTCACGGCCGTGGAGAGTCGCCCCCCGCCCACGCTCACCAAGTGGGGCGTGGCCGCCTCCACCCGCAGGCCCCGCCCACTCTCAGTGAAGTCCAGAGCCGTGTTCTACCACCATCACCAACATCACCACCATCATCACCAACATCACCATCATCATCACCATCATCAACATCATCACCATCATCATCATCACCAACATCATCATCACCATCATCACCATCATCATCACCATCATCACAATCATCATCACCACCATCATCATCAGCAGCAGCAGCCATGAGTGGGAATCGAACTCGGGTGGCTGGGTTCGAATCACAAAAACAAAAATTCCCCCCACCACAGTATAGCCTCAACAGACTGTAGGGGCAAGTGCTGTTAGCGAGCAGTACCTACGAAGGCCGGCACGGCACACCAGGGGATGGGTGGCCAGCACCACGCCCGACCGCCTTTGTCTCCCCAGTGGCGATGTTTACACACCGCACCAGGTACTCATTTGATGCCTAGTCGACCTAAGGGAGGCCCAGCACCGCTTCAGATGACCGTCACTGGTGGTGGCCGTGAGGGGGAATCGAACTGGGGTCGCCGGGTTCGTAGCGCGGTGTAGCGCTGACCACTACACCACCACTCCCCACATACGAAGCACCGTCAACACCACCACCACCACCACCACCACGAACACCACCACTACGAACAGCACCACCACGAACAGCACCACACCACCACCACGAACACCACCACACCAGCACCACCACCACGAACACCAGCACCAGCACCACCAGCAGCATCACCACCAGCATCACCAAGACCACTACCACCAACATCACTTCCACAACTATCACCAGCGCCGCCAGCACCCGACTCACGTGGAAAATCCTCTGAGACTTTTTGAGAGGCTCGCAAATCCCTCGCGTGGCCATGGAGACCTGGCTCACGACCACCGTCTCGCGATCTCGCAGCTCCTGTGAAGGCGACAGAGCGAGACAGAGAGAGAGAGAGAGATCAATACAGAGTGCGAGGTCAATACAGAGATCGAGAGAGAGAGCAAAGACAGGGGGGCTGCAGTCGCTCCTGGTGGCTGCCCGCATCCTGGCCAAAGCCAAGGGGGCCTTCTCAGCGGCAGCGATGGGGAGAACGCCACCCCCATCGGCGTTGGGGATGACGAGGCCCCTCTCGGTCCCCCTCCACCGGAGCTCTCAGTCGTGCCGCTGCATCGCCAATGCCGACAAACGAAGGCGGATCACGACCTGTGCCGGCTAGAAGACCTGCCGGAGGTGGCCTTCGCAAATGTAAAGAGGAAGGTGCTCTACTCCTACATGGTCCGGTTCCACCAACAGGGCACCCTGAGGAGCCACAAGGACCATGCCTGGAGGAGAGCCCTGCCCTGCGTCTCTCCGGAGAGGCCTCGCTGGAGGCAACTCCACTCCAGCCCGACGTACAACCGCATCGGCGACCTCAGCTGGAGCATCACTCACGGCACCGTCACCACCAACGCCTCCCTGGCGCGCTTCACCGACACGTCCCCGGAGTGCCGGTTCTGCGGTAAAATGGAGACGGTGGTGCACCAATACGTGGAGTGCAAGAGCCTGGACTCGTTGTTCAAGGTCCTGAGAATCATCCTCCTAAGGTTCAGCCTCCACTTCTCCCCGACGGTCCTCATCTTTGGATACCCGAAGGGCGACGGACCCCAACATCTTCAGGGGCCGGTCAACGTGCTCTTCGGCTACGCCAAGCTCGCCGTGTACAGGGCGAGGAAGGTGGCCCTGGAGGGGCAACGTCCAGCCAGCAGCCTGGGCATCTTCCGCGCTCTGGTCGGAGCCAGGGTGTGGCTGGAGTTCCGCCGTGCGTGGCTGACCCACGCCGTGCCGGCCTTCAAGGAGCAGTGGGCGCTGGAGGAGGCCGTGTGCTCGGTGGCAGATGACGGAGCGCTCTGCATGCAGATCTGAGCTACCCGTCGGAGGCCGTTTGACTGTGGGAAGGGCTGCGTGCAGATGCAGCACTTGTCGTAGTTACAAAAAAAGCGAGAGAGTGAGCGAGAGAGCGTGGGAGAGAGAGCGAGAGAGAGTGCGCGAGAGAGAGCGCCATGGAGTAGGAAGAGAGGGGGTAGAGAGAGGGGGCAGAAAGGGGGGTAGAGAGAGAGGAAAGGGGTAAGGAGAGCAGAGCAAGAAATCTTTTGTTAAATCTTTACTTTAAAAAGGGGGGGGGGGGTTACATAAAGCAAAGCATTAAAAAACAAACAAAATGATGAACGAAGCAAAGTGCCGACTACGCCGAGCATCTTCTGTTTTCCTCTGATCGTAAAAAAAAGAGATCAAGACAGAGAGCGAGAGAGAGAGAGATGAGAGAGATGAGAAAGAGAGATCAAGACAGAGAGCGAGAGAGAGAGAGAGATGAGAGGAGAGAGAGATCAAGACAGAGAGCGAGAGAGAGATGAGAGAGAGAGAGATGAGAGAAATGAGAGGGAGATCAAGACAGAGAGCGAGAGATGAGAGAGAGATGAGAGAGAGATCAAGACAGAGAGCGAGAGATGAGAGAGAGATGAGAGAGAGATCAAGACAGAGAGCGAGAGAGAGAGAGAGATGAGAGAGAGAGAGAGATCAAGACAGACAGCGAGAGAGAGAGAGATGAGAGAGATCAAGACAGAGAGCGAGAGAGAGATGAGAGAGATCAAGACAGAGAGCGAGAGAGAGATGAGAGAGAGAGATCAAGACAGAGAGCGAGAGAGAGATGAGAGATCAAGACAGAGAGCGAGAGAGAGAGATGAGAGAGCGAGAGAGATTGAGATAGAGCAAGAGAGATATCTAGTGAGAGAGTTTGAGAGCAAGAGAGAGATCCAGAGAAAGAGTTTGAGAGAGAGATTGAGAGAACGCTTCACGAATTTGCGTGTCATCCTTTCGCAGGGCCCATGCTCATCTCATCTGTGTCGTTCCAATTTTAGTATACGTACTGCCAGATCAAGAGAGAGATATATCGAGAGAGATGTCGAGAGAGAGAGAGATATCGAGAGAGAGTTATAAACCAACTTTATTTTTTTGCCAGCAGCAAAAGCACTGCAGCCCATTTCGACACGCCTCACTTCGAGTACAGCGTCACGTGCGCACGTCGCAAAGACGGCCCGCGGTCACGTGGCGCTGCACGTGCCGCGCGCGACCAATAAGCTCGTTCGGAAGTCAAATTTCAGAATGCCGTCGGCGCTGGTGCAGAGGGCTTGACCGCCCCCTAACACCGTTCAAAAAAAAACCACGCGCGCGCGTGTCCCCGGCATCGGAGTGGTTGGCGTGCTCCAACTGGAGCCGTGCCTTGGAGCAGCCGGTAGTGTGGCCTTGCGGCGTCCTTCTTCCTACTCTTTCGATCTTTCGGTAAAGTCACGTAGGTATGAAATAAAAGAATATAAATTACATGAAATCACGACGTTTCGAACGCAGCACGAGCGTCCGTCATCAGGTGGGAACAACCGCAGCATGAAACAATTGCTGAAGTAGGCCAAATAAAACGTTCGAAACGTCGTGATTTAATTTATGTGATTTTAGTTTCTACCTACCACGTGACTTTACCGAAAGAACCAAAGAGTAGGGATCCCTGCAGTCACGAAAACTTCAGATACTTTTTCCCGGGTCTTGTAGACTGTTCCGTCTTTGCTTTAGGCACAGACGAAGTTTTCGAGATCGTGACGCTAAAAATGAAGAAACGGAGCATTTGCGTAAAAAAATAATGAAACCCGCATTTTAAGTAAGTGTTGTTGTTCTTATTTAAATAACTTGTTGAAAACAAATCTCACGGTGGATGTGAAGGAGACTCCCACTAACTCGTAGCTTTGGCCACCACTAAAAACTAAAGACTATATACTGTATTTAATATATAGATATTTTATTTACCAGGTAAGGCCCCACTGAGATATGTAGCTATTTTTTAGAAAGCTAAATTAACGACTATTAAACTATATTCTTGGTTCTTTCGGTAAAGTCACGTAGAAGGGAAATAATAAAATAATAAAGATCAAAATACAATTCGCACGACGTTTCGATTGCAACACAAGCAATCATCATCAGGTGTGAAAACCACAGCATGAAATTTTGAAAAAAGTAGCGGTTAAGAAAAAAATCGAAACGTCATGAAAATGTTATTGTTTATTATTTTATTATTTTTTATTTCCCTTCTACGTGACTTTACCGAAAGAACCAAGAATATGAGTCCCTGCAGTCACGAAAGCTTTAAATCGAGACTATTAAACTATTTTTTTTATTTCTCCAGGTCAGGCCCCAATGAGCTGCTATGTCGCTTTTTTTTCAGAAGCGACCTGACCACCATAAATGATCGCAGCTGAACGAAGTGGTGGCTTCTCATCATCATCATCATTACGTGATTATTTATAGCAGCAAAAAAACACTCTAAACGCGTGATTGTTGATTCTAAATGTGGAGGGGAAAAAGCGGAGGTCCTGGAGAAAAATCCACGCGACCACGGAGAGAGAGAGACACCGCAAATTCCAAATATACAGCAGCAGGTGTCAGTGGTCGGGATCGAACCCACGACCTCCTGTAGACCATGCGAGGTAGTTAACATCTCCTAGCCACCGTGATGATGATGAGAGAGACGCAAACTACAAATATACAGCAGGCATAATCAAGATCGGTTTGGAACCCACGGCCTCCTGTATACCAGTCGAGGTATTTAACATCCAGCCACTGTGATGATGATGAGAGAGAGAAAGAGACGCAGACTCCAAATATACAGCAGCAGGCATCAGTCGGGATCGAACCCACGACCTCCTGTATACCAGGCGAGGTATTTAACATCTAGCCACCGTGATGATGATGAGAGAGAGACACCGCAAACCCCAAATATACAGTAGGCGTCAGGGTCGGTATCGAACCCACTAACCTCCTGTATACCAGGCGAGGTAGTAAACATCTCGCCAACATAACAGGGTCTCCAACCTCGCCTTCTGGCCCTCGGAACGATTCCATCGTGAGCGGGAACGGAAGATGATGCGGGGGGGGGGGGGATCTGCGAGGGAGAGACGAATCTACGGCCTCCTGTTGTCAGATGTGTTTGTGTTGGTTTCAGTGGAGATGATACAAATGAATAGAAGGCACGTACATAATATGTCCAGATGAGAAAATAGAATGGGAGGCTTTTAACCCTTTCCGGCAATAATACGTGAGGTTCAACGCATATGCTTCCGCGACCAATATCATCCATAATACAGGGGCTTTTTGAAGTTAGATTGCGTAAATATATACATGTGGTGTCGTCAAATCCGCCACCACCCGACACAGCCAACTAGTGAGGTTTGTCACACGTGAACAGAACATGCCAAATTGGTTACCATTACAGCACTAGTGTATAGTGTAGTATATTGTGTATAGTAGTGTATAGTGTATAGTACTATATTGTATAGTGTAGTGTATAGTGTAGTATACTAGTACAGCACACCGGTTGTGTTGGAGTGCAAAGCCACAACATTTACAATCTGTGTACGACGTTTCTAACCGATGCGAACCGTTGCACCACCGCTCCCCAGCCACAAAGACAAAGATCCCCCGTACAGCCTTAACAGACTGTCGGGGCAAGCGCTGTTAGCGAGCACCTCTGAAATCCGGAACGGCACACGAGGGGGTGGGTGGCCAGCACCACGCCCGACCGCCTTTGTCTGCCTAGTGGCGATGTTTACTACACACCGCACCAGGTACTCATTTGAGGCTGAGTCGACCTAGGGGGAGGCCCACGACCGGTTCAGATAATCGTCATCGGTGTTGGCCGTGAGCGGGAATCGAACTCGGGTCGCCGGGTTCACCGCGCGGCGCGCTAACCACTACACCACCGCTCCCCAGCCACATACACACGCACACCACACGCACACACCACACGCACACGTTATATCTTCACTCTTAACGCTGTAATTCCACGGTGAAACACAAACATTTACGTTTGACTGGGGATAATTTCCGCTTAATGGGGC